GCTTGCAAGCTCCTGTTGTGTTTGGCCCATGAGGGTGTTTAGGCGTGCCTTGATGTCTGGTAAACGGTCCCGGATGTGAGCCATGAGTGTTTGATTCAGGCTCTTGGCAAGCAGCTGGGTACCGCAGCGGTTTGCCATATTCCTGTAGGCAGGGTGGTGTCGGAAGAAGTCTCGCTCGGCTTGTAGGGCATCGGCCAGGGACTTGTTGCCCTGAATGTCCTGTTGTGATCGGTTGACGATACCAATGAAGCCAAGCTTGAGTGGATAGACACGGCCCGAGAGAATGTCCATGGCATTGGTGCCGTGGTCCATAAGGTCGAGCTTTGTGAGGACACCAATAGTCCTCTTACCCATGGGGTCGACATGACGTGCAAGCTTCAGAGCCTCCGAGTTGACGAGATCGACGTTGGCGGGGGAGACGGCGAGAATGACACTGTTTGGCTTGGCAATGTACTCGGTGATCAAGTTCCGTGTCTGCTTCTCGATATCGGAGGGCTGGTCGCCAATGGGCACCTGTGGTTTGTTAGCCTGGGATTGCCACGCAGAAAAAAAAGGCAGAAGCGCCTACCTTGGTCAAACCAGGCAAATCGACCAGCGTCAAACTCAAGACATGAGGCGAGTAGATTTTCAGGTTAATGGGCTGCCTGTTGATACCCTTGTTGTTTCCTGCTATCCTGGACGTCTCGTTCTCGATCTCGCGCTTGACTTCTCCAAAGTCGTAGAAGCGCTGGCCAGGAATGTGGAGGAATTCAGCCCACTCCTGCTGGCTGGCAACGCTTGCGGGCGTGTGGGGCACATGGACTTCGTCGTCGTCGTCTTCATCGCGTTCGCTGGGGAGGTTGATGAGTTGGAGAATGAGCGGTCGGCGGGTGACGATGCCGCTGCCACGGGGCAGGAAATCCTTGCCGACGATGTTCTCGAGCACTGACGATTTGCCAGAGGACTGCGATCCTACAACAACCTGGGCCGGTTAGCAGCGCCTCGATAAGATGCAACGGAGCGGTTGAAAATCTGCTCCGCCCTCACCGCATTCCCTTTTCCGGCTGGGGCGCACATACAATCTGGGGCAAATCGAGGGAATCATTCCCAATCGTATTGAAGACCAGGTCCTGCAGCCTGTTGACAATGTTGAGGAGTTCCTCGCCCAGCGCCGCCATAGCGCTGTTGTTTCTCTGTCGTTTCTTTGCTCCTCACAGGACAGACTCGTTGCCGGGCAGCCAGACCAGACCAGATGGCGGAATCGAATGCTGCAGACGGAACAGTCGTGGCAGAGCGGGGGACGAAGGGTATGTGCAGAATACAAATGCGGGATCAGGCGGGGAGATATAGGTGATGGCGACTTTGTAGGGAGCAGAGGCTCTGGACGGGAGGGCCTTTGCTGCAGCTCCGTCGTCACTTCGCTTGAAAGTTCATGTTCCAAGGCGGCGGGCACGTGACGGCCAGCATGGCACTCTGCTCCCCACATCACGCACTCGCACTCACCACTCTCCATCATTCTGGCCTCGCGCTACTCATGTTTTTGCGCATAAAGGAGCGCTGGACGCCAGCACACGCGACAAGCAACCCCCCTGGGTTGTTGTTCACGGAGAGCTCGAGACGGTTGCTGGCGTTGGCCATGAGCCATGGCCTGCCCTGTCAAACGCCACACCAACTGCAGTGCATGATGCCGGATCTGGAACTAATACGGTACATTACATGTGTACATGGAACGCACGGCAGCCCGCAGCACACGACATCCAGTGTGCGCAAAATACCAGCAGAAGAAGAAGAAGAGGAAGAAAAAAACAACCCCTCTGTTGCCAAACAAGCAGTCGTACCACCAGCGTCATCAGGACTCAAGTGTTGGGAAAGTGGCAGTGAGTGGGCCAAGCCATCAGAACAACTCATCGCACGGCTCCGCAGCCCCTTGTTGAGCACCCACAATTTGACACACGACGAGCATGTCTGGACGGGCAGCAACACGGCTCTGCCCGTCGGGCTTGGATTGGGTCGCCTGTTGTGGTTGTTGTTGTTGTCGTCGTCGTCGTCGTGTGAGAAGAGGGCATGACACGTATGTAGACTTGTAGGCTGGTGACTTGTTGTTACATGCCACTACAGTACATGGACGACACTACTAGCCATCTAGCCTAGCCTACTCTCGCCGGCGGTCGGGTATTGTCGGACCCCGCGCCTGGCGTAGTGCAAACTAGTCGCACCGTAACGGCACGGCTATCTATCGCTGCTCACCACCCTTATCGCCGCCCTCGCCCTCGCCCTCGCCCTCGCCCTCGCCACGGCCAGCTGCCACGGCCAGCTGCCACGGCCAGCTGCCACCACACCACATTATCAAACCATATCTCCAGATGCCATCTCCACATCCTGGGGAATGCGGGCTGATCGCCGTGCATCTCCTTTTTCTCCTCCGCTTCATTGGCTACGCTATCAAGGCCAGGCACCATCACGTGTACCTGACGACGGTATCATGTCTTTGCACGAGCTGATAAGTGTACATTACCCCGATCGAATCTTGATGCTGTGACCAAGCTCTGCCTAAGCTCTGCCTGCCGAAGGAAGCCTATCATTAAGAGATAAGCCCTGTTATCATGCTCACCGCAAACAAAGGAAGAACCGCCGTTTGCACCTGGCCTACAAAAGTCACCTGCTTGCCCTGATATCTGCACCACCACCACCACCACCCCCTTCTTTATCCCCACTCACATCTCAATCTTAGTCTCAGTCTCATTCCGGCTCTGGCCCTTTTGCAAGCCAAGCCCATTTGTCCTGTCCTCTCATCCAAGCTTCCATGGCCCCAGAGTCTCTAACCGTCACCACTACCCAAGAGAGTCACGACATTACCATAGGAACTATAAAATGCACTGCATCCATTCCATTCGGAGGCGAGGGGCAATGGCTCTATTTGCCGGCCACCAAAAAGTTCGACTTGTCTCGAGGAGCGGAGCGGAAAATGGTTCTCGAGTGCGATGAAGAACGCAGCAACCACACCGGCCTCATGATTGACCCTGGCAAGTCGGTCCTGATTGTCGTTGACATGCAAAACTACTTTGTCCACCCACTGTATCGCGACCACGCAGCAGGAATTACTGCCATCGATCCTACTTTGAAGGTCATTGAAAGATGTCGCAAAGAAGGCATCCAAGTTGCCTGGCTCAATTGGGGCATTACCGACCACGACTTGAACAAGATGGCGCCCGCTATCCAGCGCGGCTTCAGCAAGACGCTGGGATGGCATGTTGGGCTAGGCGCTCAGCTGCCTGGCGGCCAAGGAAGATGCCTGTTCAAGCGGACGTGGAACGCAGCCCTATACGGACCGTTTCAAGCAGTCGCCCAGCCCGGCGATCTTTTTTTCGACAAGACGAGAATGAGTGGTCTCTGGTCTGAGAAGGAACCCATCCATGAGTATCTGCGGGCATCAGGCAAACAGACGTTGCTCTTTGCTGGCGTCAACACGGATCAATGCGTCTTTGGCACCGTGTCCGATGCATACTCGTACGGATGGGACTGTGTTTTGCTCAGCGACTGCACAGGCACAATGACGGGACGCGGAGCTCAAGAACTAGCCGAATACCAGATTTCGCAAAACATGGGCTTCGTCGTTGACAGCGACACTTTCTGCAATGCCCCGATCGATGACCACGTCGAGAGTTGCTGATTTAGTTGCGCTCATGCACCTTCACATGGGCTCTTTGCTTTCTTATATTTGGTGGTACCTGTTGTTTAGAAATACCCATAGCGCAAGTAGTACAAGACGAATACATTTACATTAATTACGTCTGCTTTGTGGCTTATCTCTGCGACAATAGTTGCCCAATCAGCGCCTTCTGCCCGATCCGATGGCGGATCTACAATGCTGAGGCACAGATGACGCACGTGTGGGGAGGCGCTCCCAGGAAGGAACGACAATGTCATTAAATGCTTGACGCCAGCTGCAGATTCCACCTACTGTCCCATACCAGAGCCGCAGGACGTAGCCCTGTTCCATTCGCCCCCAAAATGCCGTTCAGATGCCCAATTGCCTTCGTCTGCTTGCTGCAACTTTGCGCAACAACAATTGCCGTTCCAGTAGAACAAAAGCCGCTTCTACTCAACGGTCCTAAGAACGTCAGAAATGTCAGGACGCAGTGAGTTTCTCACAACCTGGATTCCTGGCCGACTTTTCCTGACTAGCAGCTGCAGACTTCACAATGCCGAAATCATCCCCACAGGCATGTTCATCCAACTCGTGTAGGAGACTCAGGGTTCAGCACTAACCGCCCTCTAGTCATCGACGACTTTCTCCCTAGTCTCACACTTTCGATTGTCTGGTCGGATGCCAAGGCTAAGCTAGGCAATACCATCGACCCAGAAGACCTCCAAGAACAACCCACCGCAATTCTGCACGACGACACTAGCCCAGACGGCAAGCACGCTGGTTCTGGTATGAGCTATGTTATCACCTTGACAGATCCAGATGCCCCGTCCCGCGACAACCCAGAGTGGAGTGAATTCTGCCACTGGATTGCTTCTAATGTCTCCATCGTCCAAGACACATTTTCTGTCCTACCCTCACCAGAGTTCGGTCTCACTGAGGAGATTGAATCGACAGAGGAGCTGCATGATGTCATGGGATACAAACCTCCTGGCCCACCACCCAAGACTGGCAAACACCGCTACGTGTTTCTTGTTTTCGCACCCAAGAATGGAACTACCGAGCCTTTGCATCCGAGCAAACCTCAGGGCCGTAAGCATTGGGGCACGGGGAAGGAACGTGGCGGCGTAAGAGAATGGGCTCAGGAGAATGAGCTGGTTCCTGTGGCGGCGAACTTTATCTATTCCGAGAACGAGAAGCAGTAACTATCTGAGCTTTTGTATCATAATCCACCACATAATAGCTTATTTTAATCTAGTGATATCGGAACAGAATTAGATGAATGGTAGTTCCAGGATAGACACTTCATGCGGCCGAAGCAACACTGTACTGATAGCTCACTTCTAGAATCGCGCCATGCACTCTTGGATCGTCGTTACAACGCATCGTCCGAGACATGGCGACAATTCAACACATACTGCGGATCCTCCAGCCCCAGCACATCATCACCATTCCCAAACTGATGCAGTGCCCTTGCCACCACCAAAAAGCGGTCTTTTTGCAGATGCTTCTGCAGCTTGCGAAGCGCGCGCCTGATCACCATAGTCGTTCTAGCCTCGCCAAAGTCCAGTCCCATCGCACCCACAACCTGAGACGTTCGTCGTGGATGGTGCTCGAAGCACTTCCAGAAAGCAAGCAGACGGCGGTCGTTCCAGTCGTTTACAAGATCGCGGACGAGGGCATACTCGCGGGCAGGCACGTCTAGGTCTTGGTAGTGGGTTTCGAGGTCACACAAAATGGTTTCACGAGTCTTTTGAGGGGATTCCTTGGACTTTTTGTTCTTCTTGGGCTGCGTTGTGAAGGGGTATATGTCTTTGGTAGAGCGGTATTGCGACATCTTTAGTCGTGGGGTGGTCGTCAGTGATGGCATTGAGGAGGTGTTGTAGTTTGCGCCATGGTGGTACCAGAAAGAACTCATCAGTAGTGCCTTTTTTTATGACGGTAATCAATGAGGGACCTGGGGGTGAGAGATGGTGTAGCATGAGGAGCTTCGCGTGCCATGCCTCGCATGGGATGCTCCGTTTATCACATATTAATAGGCCTTCGCACTATGCATCACATGTTTTATACGAAGCGTGCAATACACATACCGCACGCCAACCCGTGGAAGCCATTCATCGATCCATCTCGTTTTCGTGGCAGTGATCCGGTCAAGAAGATGATATGTACAAAGTGCCGTGGTAATAGTGAGGGGATGGACGAGCCATGCCTAGACGGGCCTAGTCCCGCTAAACTCACGTTTTGGCGCGTTGAAAGCTGCTCCAGAACGGAAAACAATGACGTCGCGCAAGCCGTGTCAAACCATAGTCCTTATTATTCAGTTTCCGCAAGTTTTGCTCAAAATCATTCGTCAAGATATCGTAGTACTACCAGAGTATGTCGGATGAGCCGAAAGCCTCGGTAGCTACCCCGGCACCATACTACATTGCCAAGTCGAATGTCTGTGTGAACAGCAAAGGAGAAAGCGTCGGAAATGGATTATTCGCGAACCAGAGGTTTGGTGCAGGCGAAGAGATTGCGAGGTTCAAGCGTCCTCTTGTGGGCTCTTTAGAGACGGAACGTCTTCTCGATACCTGCGCAAATTGCTATCTTTGGACCGAAGGTGCGTCAGCAGGAACAAGACTATATGTGCCAGAGGGTGCAGAAGTCAGCAAGTGCGCTGCATGCCAGAGATTTAGGTACTGCAGCAAGGCAAGTGTTATCCTTGCATATTTGCGTCGTTGCCAATTGACTTTTTTAGGCTTGCCAAAAGGAAGCGTGGAACCGCGGACATAAACATGAGTGCAAGATCCTTAAGCCCATGGCTGGCAGAGGCCTCCCAAAAGCATTCCTAGCATCTATGGAACTACTTACCAGGCGGAAGCATGGTCTCATATCTGATAAGGACTGGGAGCTGCTCTGCCAGCTACCATCTCACATTGACGACTTCAAACGGAATGGGACATATCAAAATATTGACATGATGGCTATGGGTGCCGCACAATTTTCACTCCCACAGAACGTCTTTGACAAGGATTTTGTTGCTGCAATGTATGGACGGGTAAGTGGAACCTGCATGCTTGCGCGCACACTGTTAAATCGTGCAAGGTAATGTCAAACGCCTTGACGCTCATCACCCCAACATTGGATCCACTAGGCATCATCGTGGACCCCACACTCTGCCAGATGAACCATTCCTGCAACCCGAATGCTTACATCATGATGGATGGGCCCCTGGTCAGTATTCGGACTCTACGGCCAATCAGAAAGGATAAGGAGATTTTCATATCCTACATTGACACGACGCATCCGTATCAGAAACGACAAGACGAGCTTCAGGCACGTTGGTTCTTCACATGCCGGTGTGCGAAATGTCAAGACAAAGCCACGCACCAGGAAGACAATTGGCTCGTTCCAGCAAACTCTGACTTTGTCGCCAGCAAAGAAGAACTTCAAGCTTTGGCCAGAAACCAAGAGCAGATGTTCACCTTGTATGAGCAAATCCAAGGCATGCCAAATACAGGGGCTGTGATTCCGGTTCTGGAAGGAGCACTCAAGGTATGCCACGAGTCTGGTAACTGGCCTCTGTACCGTCAGCCGTACGCCTCGCTTCGCGATGAGCTCATTGTAAATCTCCTTTCGGTTGGCAAGTATCAAGAAGCATGGGCACACAGCGCAAAACGGTACAAGTTCATCTTGCCCAAGCTCTACCCGGTGCCATTTCATCCCGTCCGAGTTGTCCAGACATGGCAGATGGCAATGCTTGCAGCATACCTTGCCAGCACCGAAGAGGGTGTGGGCGCGCCCGGCGTCAACATGGGTCTTATCGCGATGATGCTGGTAAAGCAAGTGTTGGATGTTGCGCCCATGAGCCACAGCCAGGACAATGCATTTACCAAGAGCGTCATGGAGAAGACGAGAGAGATGGTTGAGGAGCTGAAGCGAAGCGTAGGGAATCCAGACAAGGACATTATGAATAGGGAGTTGGAGGCTCAGAGAGATCGGCTTATGGATATGGGTGATTGGGCCCAGGATGGGAAGACGCCCGAGGTGAATGTGGTGGAAAAGGCATTTGGCGTGTGATGTGAGGAGATGATTGTGGAAGGTGCTACTGGGTTCTTGAGCGCGACTACCATGTGAGTCGCATGGCCTGCCATCACGGATGCCGTAGTTACTTCGGAGTAAACATGGTCACTTCATAGCAGACGGGTTGAGCAGCCCGGTATAAAGCTTTGCGTTAGAGTGTTAACTTCAGTCCTCAAAGTCCTCATCGGAGTATTTACTACTACCACCAAGATGTGCATTATACACCATTCGACCTGGGGTCACCGGTCCGCACCACCACCACCACTGCCATGATCAACATGCTCCATAGCCTCAACAAGGGAGCATCGGTCGTGGCGAGGTCTTGGGGTTGATATCACAGTGAAAGTGAGTGCAGCCTACGCTAATCCCCCTTGGCCAGCTTTCACCATCACCGATGCGCCACTGAGACAGCAGCATCTTTCACTGCACATGCATGACAGGGAGGCGCTTGGCCTATTTTAACTGACCCTTTGAGTAGCCTCACACCCTTTTGTTCTTGACGTGGTCACCTCCAACTTTCTATCACCGTACAGAACACAGATACAGTTCATCAGTACAGTTACACCAAGTAGCCCAGACACACAACACCACTACAACCATCACCAAACCCACTCCAACTATTACCAACACTATGCCACCCAAGGCCACCGAAAAAGCCGACAAAATGTTCAGTGCCGATGTTGTCGCCGCAGTGCTTTACAGCACCGGCACGACCAGTCTATCCATGAAGAACTATGAGATGATGAGTTCGCTCGATGGCAAGAAATCAGCCTACGGCTTCCAGCACGACTTCCGCTCTGTCATTGCCAAGGCCAAGGAACTCAAGGCACGGGTTGAAGGCGGCGAGGAGTTTGCGCCCGTGGCGTCTTCAGCTAAACGCGGTAAGTGGAACGTCTTCGTTTTGCTCAATATGTATGTAACATGATGCGCTGACAAGCGTGCAACACATATAGGTCCGACGACACCCGTAAGCACGTCGAGCAAGCGCAAGAACGCTGAGGTTTCAGACGTTGACAGGACACCCTCGAAGCCGCCTTCTCAGAAGCGGACCAAGCAGGTCAAGCAGGAAGAGGCTTCATTGGAGGGTAATGGCAAGGAATCGGGTGCGGTCAAGGGCTTCAAGAACGGCATTCCAGAGGATTTCGAGACGTTTATCAAGAGCGAAGCGGCTTGGGAGGAGAGATATGTTTAGTGGACAAAGTTGGGGGAATATGTGAACTGGGGCGGACAAGAGGGAGAGTTGTAGATCCGTTTCTTCCCCCCCCCCCCTCTTTGGCGAGAAGTATGATCGGAATTCTGGGGAATATTTCGGGATTGAAATTAGTTTGCTACTCGGACTGCTCAGATAGCGAGAGGAGTTTGGGGGCTTTAGTGCTGAATAAACCTTCTTTTCTTGTTCTTTATTGACTACTGCACATCTTTCTAAGCTGGAAATAGTGAACTTTTTTAGCTACTTCGAATAGCCATCGTATCAGCCGATACACTCGATTATCACGTGACTGAGGCGATAAGAGTGGTGCGGATATGAGGATGGGCAGGGGCATTATGAATAGGACACTATGTTCTCTATAGTGATGCGCAGGGGAATCGTGAGGAGAGACATTAGGGAGGCGTGTTCCACACATGGTGCTCTGAAGTATTGCAAGTAGCTTTCAACTACTAACAAAGCCATGGTGTGAAGTTGGCCAAGTCTCTTTACACTATATCTGCAAACGTACTATTTTGCCCAACCAGGCAGCGTTATTTGGACCCATAAATCACTAGAATAAGGAGAAATGAGCCAACCCTCGCTTCTGTCTACATTTCTGAAGATTGCTACCTAAATCGCAGACGTAAAAAAAATTAGCTTTACCAAGGCCAAAAGCGCGTTCTCCATGACATAGGTGCCATTTGCCATGTTTGAATAGGATTAGGGGCGCAAAGTGTGTTTGCAGACATGGTTTATATATATAGTACGAAATGAGTGTCTAACTTTGAGCGTAGCACAGATGGCAATTGTCGCGAGCAAAGTGGGCATGAACGAGGCCAAAAGGCTTGATTAGACCAGACAGTGGCTTGCGTGCACCTAGTAATCATCACTTTATCGGCGCGCGCGCAAAAAAGAAAAAAAGTTTACAGGAATCCACAAAGGGACAAGCGGGTGACGCGGCGATCACACTTTTGCAAAAGCAGCCGGTATTTGTAACAAGGCGTCAGAGGGACCTGACTTGCATGTGCCGACAGACACACACAGACACAGACACAGCCTGCTTTGCCTACGCCAGCGTTTTCGGTGGCCACATGATCGGGACAAGACCCCAAGTCGCTGTTTCATGCCTTGTAGAGCCAGTGTGAGACGGGGCAGTGGCAAAGATGTAGTAGTATGTTTATGCTGGCTGTGCCGTGTGTGAAGAGAGGAGGAAGAAAAGGCCGTCTTGGGGGATGGACAGGAATAGTAGCACAGACCATGGCAGCAAGGGGGGGGGGATGCAAGGCAAGGCAAGGCAAGGCATACGCACGCTCCTCTGACTGCACGCCCCCATGGCTGCACAGTTGACAAAAAAGTCGATACCATGTGGGTTTATCGACAGCGAACAGGTGGTTCCCCGCCGCGACATGTGCATACTTCCCCAAACACGTTGATGCTCCACTTGTCTTGTCACTTAGTATGCACACTTGCATTCAAACATGTCGCGTGCGCGCCCTCTTCTCCACGTCCAGACAGACGGGCAGTGGCCCAGCACTGAATCTCTTGTGGGTGGAGCTCCAGGCGTCGGGCCGTTGTCTAATAAGAAGTATCTGCTCCGTCCATATCAACTAGTACCATAAGTATATGTCGTAAGCTCATCACCGGCGTCTTGCCGGTCGCGAAGCTCTCTCACTCTGGTCCAAGTCGGCGCCTTGTCGGTGTATTATGTACTTGGATACATGGTCGACAGGGCTATGGCGGTGGTGAGAGTCGTCGCCATGAGTGAGACATGACGTCTGCTGCCGGGCGCCAAAGGACTCGCTGGCACAACCGGCGTTCATCTGGAACGACAAGGCTTGTGTGGAGCCCCCCCGGCTGATCGCTTGTGCTGAGGGGATGTGGTGGGTGTGGTGGCTATGGTGGCCATGGCGGCAAGGGATAAGTACGTGTACATGCTAACGAGATGATGGACTCGACGCACATGACCACAACAGTCATGCCATGGCAATCAAGGTCGCCAACGACGTGCTCCAGAATATATCGACATGGCTCTGGAACGGGCGTGCATATTAATATCCGCATGCAGTTGGGCCGTTGCGCAACGAGGGCCTTGACGGGATAGCCCCTGAATTTCCCCAGGTTATTGGCTTTGTTTTTGCTAGGCCGCAAGCAGCTTAGGCGCCAGGTACCATCGGCGCCAGGCACGCACCAAAGGGGGCCATGCATTCACCCAATCCAATTCACCCTCGCATCCTCGCACCCACACCTCCTCCCCATCGACTCGCCCAAGGTTGCCTCTTGGGCCAACGCCCTTGGTCGAGACGTACCTAGGCGAGCCATGATAGGGGACGCTCCCACGCCAGCCCGTACGCGCGCCAATCACCGCACCGCCGCATGAGCTTCATCTCTCATTAGTCGGCAGTCTAGCCCGCTTCCGGCTCCAAATCTTCGCTCCCTCTGCCGCTCCCAGGGCGTTTGCACCCGGCGCAAAAATACACCGTCAGCTCGCCGGTCCCGTCTTTTATTTCATCTCGCCCTGCGCCGCCTCCATCTTTTCTCTTTCCTTCCTCCAAGCCGCCCACTCGCTGATCAGTCACTCATTCTTCTCCAACTACTCCCATCTTCAGCTTAATACTACTCCGTAATCCACCACCACCTCTCTCTCTCTCTCACTCCAAACCGCCATCATGCGCTTCTTCCAGGCTATCCTTTCCTCCGCGGCTTTTGCTGCTCTCGTCGCTGCCCTCGAGATCAACGACTTCCCTGCCCAGGGTGTCGTTGCTGGCAACTCCTACACCATCACCTACTCCCCGGCCGACAATGTCCCCACCACCTTCATCCTCCGCCAGGGAAAGTCCACTGACCTTAATGTCATTGGCACCTTGACCAGTACGTTTGCCGTCACTCGACAAGAACCGTCTTCCATGTACTGACTCTACTTATAGCCACTGCTACCGGTGGAAAGTTCCAGTGGACCCCCAGCAAGGATCTCTCCAACCAGGGCGACTACGCTCTTGAGATCAAGCGCGGCGACACCGTCAACTACTCTGCCCAGTTCCCTCTTACTGGTGGCGCTGCTTCCGATGACAAGCCCGTCTCTTCCAGCACGCCTTCTGCCTCCACCTCGGCTTCCGTCAAGCCCTCTTCTTCGGCTTCTTCTTCGGCTTCTCCTAGCCCTTCGGCTTCCGGCTCCTCTTCCATCACCTCGGCTGCCTCCAGCTCCGCCTCCGCCTCTGTTTCCACTCCTGCTAGCAACTCCACCATCAGCTCTGCTACTCTCTCCCGCACTCCTTCTCCTTCGGCTACCCGCACTCCCACCGGCTCTGCCAGCGTTCCCGAGGTCACCGCTTCCGGCGCTGACTCTCTCCTCGCCAACCCCCTTGCCGCCATTGTCGGCGCTGCTGCTCTGGTCTTCTTCGCCTAAGCGTCTTGTTTTCCCACATTGAAGATATCCTGTCTTATGTTTTGCCCGTGTACGATATACTAGCAATGGATAACTGTTTTTTGGAAAACGGAAAATCATATATACCCTTGTAAACAGCCCTCTGGTTCAAAGAATGAGTTACGTAAAGCAAAAGCAGGGCTGTTCAATGTTGTCGAGGTCGAAACGCTATGCAAAGAGCTTGTACAGCGGTAGCAGTAATGATAATATGGAACTCGTTATACCCTCCTTCAAACCCTCCATCTTCAATGCCTTGTTGTGACGCATTCCATGCCTTTGCAATGCTATATCCCCCATCTTCACGCCTCTTGACGAATGACAGGAAGTTTATTCTGACATTTGATACAAAATCTCAACATACTTTGCGGCCTTTGGCATACCTTACTCCTGCCCTGTCCGCCGTGAAACACGCCTTGCTGCACCAGGCCCCCCCATAAACCCAACTTTCGCCCTACTCGCACCCGTCAATGCCGTCTTACAAGAAAAAAAGGTTCCCTTACTGCCGCATCCTCCGCATAACGACTCCGCCCTGCTCGCGTGAGCGCGCAAAACTCTCGGACCCCGCGCAGTCTCTTCCCCGTCATGTTACCGCTGCAAATGACGCATCGCTCTCTCTCTTTCTCTCTCTCCTTCTTTCTGGCCCCCTAACAAGCCCCACGCCGGAAACAAGGTTCACCACCTATTTTTTCTTTCGTCGCTTCCAGTGCATCTGAACCACGGTTTACGCCCTCTCCCCCCCTCTAGCCTGTCTTGTAGTGGGCGTCCAGGTTCCCCCCCCCCTTCGACCCACACACATACACAGTACCGTGGGGGGAGCGGGAGGGGGTGCTGCTCAGTGTGCATGCGATAACGACCCTAAAGGAGATAAGCGGGTACCCGCATTCCAGATCAAGAGCGCAAAAGCAAGTCATTCGGGGGGGAAGGGGCGTGGATGCGTGCATACGCAGCGTGCGCGTGCTTTTGTGCCACACTGTATTTTGACTTCTTCGTTTTCTTTCGACTTTGACGTCGCTTTTTTTTTAAAAAAAAAAGTAGGTTGTTAGTAAGAATGCGGTGTTGCACTAAAAAGTGACCAAAAGGGTCTTTTGTTCAAAGTGACATCAGAGTTTTTTTTCCCTTCATTCAAATCGTTGCTTTTGCGCTGCGCTGTTTGATTTTGCTCGTCACCTGGTATGTCTGTACACCGGAGGCTGGGCTAGGCTGGTTAGCTTCTGCGTACTGCTTCCTGATCTGGATGTGGTTAACTATCGCATTAGCTTTGCCGCAAGTGTACCGGGGATTCTTGGTGCACAAGTACATTTTGTGCGAGGCAATGACGACGATGACGGTGATGGGAAGATGGCTGGTGGAACTAAGATGGCAAACCGGTATGCGACGGGTCTGGATGAGAGAGGACATGGGCACACGACTGCTTGTTCGCCGGGAAAACGACGTAATTGCACATATTGAAACTTGTTTTACTTTTTGGTTCCCTGAGGCAGAAAGACGTGCAGGGAGATGAAAAAGAACGTTGTTCTCCCGAGTTTCCATGCGTCAATGGTGGCTTGACAGACGTTGAATAGGGCTGAAGAAGGACGTGTGCATGTCGTTTCGTTTTTCCATGCAATTAGTACTAGAAATAGAACAAAATCAAGGCTTTTTCTTTCTCAAAGCAAGTAACGTAACCACCTGAATCATGCGACATAAAATATAGCCAGCAAGCTACAAAATGAGAGAGTGACGAATGCCTTCTCTGGTTCAAGCACACATTCGACAGGGTTGATTCTAAGGACGTCCAACAGGCTTCAGCTTATCCAAGCTCGCAGACTCCTCATCCCATCCGTCAGCCTGCCATCCACCCTTGAAATACTGAGCAGCATCCTCGGAACCCTTGAGGTTCCACAATGCCCAGTTTAGCACAGCCTTGCCAAACAGGCCGCCGTTGGTGTGCCCAAGGTCGCCGCCGTGGCCGAGAGGAAGGATTCCCTTCCATTTGGGAGTGCCAGCGGGAATGTTCTTGAAGTCGCGGTTACCCTAAAGGTCGGCATGTTAGTCAGTCGTCGCGATGAAGGAACTTGTCGCAAACAGGATGATCGGAGTAGGCATATTCTGAACTATTTCTTGGCACATAGTATATCGACATGGAAGAACTCACATTCGGGGTTGCCTGGTCAGCTGTGCCACCCAGAACATAGAGCACTGGCTTCTTCCACGTAGATGCCAGGTACGTCTTATCCGCATCGGCAATGCCAGAACTGACAATGCCGACAGTAGCAACTCGAGGGTCAGGGAAGTTATACGCAGCCTCGAGCCCACCGCATGAGAAGCCCGCTGTCATGAGTCTGCTTGCGTCCACATCTTTGTATTTACCCTTTCCAGCATGCTGATGGATCCAGTCAATAGCTGCCTTCATCGTCTTGTCGTTGGAAGGGCCTTGCATGCTCATAGCCGTGTCTCGCGTCGTGTTGGTCGTGTCTGGCGCCATGACACCCTCGGCGATGGCGAGGAACCCGTTCGCAGCCACATGCTTCAGGAGGACTTGATTCGAAGTGCCATCAATACTGCAGGCGCCGTTGCCCCAGATCAGAACAGGGAATTTGTCTGAGTGAGCAACAGGAGCGCCAGTCGGGAAATAGATGGTGTGGTTTGGGAGGCTGGAGTCGATGTAGGGCACGATGCTGCTGTCGTTTTGCTAGTACAAATGTTAGCTTGCTAAGTTAGGTGATCAGGTTTTTCTCGAGATAGGGAAGCGTACGAGAATCTCTAATTGAACAGGCGACGCGGTAACGCTGCTAACAGAGACTGCCGCTATGACGAGGCTGGCTATGTACTTCATATTTCAAGATATGGAACGAGGGACTGAACTCTGCTTCCAAGAGATAGCTGATCTCGTGTCAAGTCATGATCAATAGAGATCGAATGCTTGTTTTATATGTTATTGCCGATCGATATAATTTCCCGCAGCACTTATTCTCCTCCACCGGTGCGTTTTCTCAAACAGCCGTGCACCAAGAACAGCGTAATATACAGGGGATCCCGTCGAAGTGAAAAATACTAGCGTTGTCAGATTTCCACACCAAATATGTCTGCTCAACATGGTACCATTCGATGGTTGCTATGCGATCTTCTTCTTGTAATCCGACTACATGATTATTAGGCAGTTTGATATTGAGCTATCTAGTACCGAAATTTCCGAGAAGTTGTGCATCTTCCAGTGTGAGCTTGTCACGTATCTCGGTAAAATAAAAAGTCAGGATGTACCGCTTACTCGAATATAACAAAGTTTCGCTGGTGCATTCAGTGCGTGGAAACATGTCAGCTTATTTATCCCATTGGAAACCAGAAAAGCGTTGTTGTTTTATTCTCGGTCCTACTAGTATTAAATGTTGGGGTAAATGACCCGGCGGGGACGAAACACCAACTCGAGAATATATGTACAGCCTATCCTAGCTAGGTAACATCCACGACCTATTCTTCCTATCAATCTGCCATATTTTCGTTTATCCGCCAAGCCCTATGTGTCTTCTCAAATAAACAGGGCCCCCACTGCGCCCACTACGGCTCCGGTAAAAGTCCACTTGCTGTACCCCCTCCCGTTTGCAGCAGCACCAGTAGGCTGTGAAGTTTCGGACGAACTTGTCGGGCTTGCACTGCTCGAAGATGTCCTCGTAGTCCTGACCGTACTCTGAACACTCGTCGTACTAGACTCTGATGACGCGACTAGTGTAGTACTGACAACCACGCTGCTCACAACCGCACTGCTCACAACTGCGCTGCTCGTTACAAACGTCGGCGTGTCAACAGCTATACTTGTTGATATGATGTCGGATGTGGGGGGCGAAGTAGCAATCGGGCTGTTGCTGACTGTGAATGGATCGCCCCATGTCGATGTTGGTGCTGCTGATGGCAAGGCAATACTAGGGAGGACGGCATCCGTCGAAGCAACGGCTGGGGCTGAGACTGAGACAGTGAACGGTTCGCCCCAAGTGCTTGTCTGTGCGTAGGAGACTCCGAGTAGAGACAAGATCGCAGTCGTTCTTAACGGTGACTGCTTCATCTTGTTGTTCAGGACGAGTTGGTGTATCCGAATGTAATTTGTACCGGGCAATATATTGGCTTTGTCGATCTTATGGGTAGGAGCAGTAGTAGGAAGGTGCTAAGCTTTTCTCTATTTCCTTGGCTAACGGAATTGAATCTATGATACTGACGCTTGAATCCGATGTCCTGCGAGGAAAATCATAACCGGGTTCTTGCACGCTTTTAACACTTCCTTTGCAAGGCTCTCCTCGGCCTCCCTGCTCAGCTCATTCTCCGAGATCATCTTTTCAGACTTACGCTTTACGTCCCTCCTGCTCTCAAAGTAGAAGTCTGTGGCGTTTCTTTGTATCGAAGCAGCCTAGTTTTACGTCGGTGGTGGCTTGATGTGCTGGCGTGGTGACACGTGATTGGTGAGCATGCGCAAATCTCGGGTCTCCGCATCGCGCATATGCGAGACAACGGGCAAAACAAAACACCGCACCGCCGTTTATGTCGGCATTCTCGACGGAGATTTTACAGGACGCGCGGCAGTTGATGAAAATGCATGCATTGGTCGCTATTCATGGGATGCGTTGTGTCGAAGGGAGAAGGGGATACGAGCAACGCAGCAGTCTCTAGTGACAAGAGTGAGCGTAAAGTTTCTCACCTTTCTTAACCTACTTAGGCAGTCGAATTTTTTTGATGTTTCATTCTAATTTACGGTATTTCATATTCATCGTTGTAGTGAATTTCAGGTAATAAAATAAGCGTGCTCTATCCTGAAAGCACCCGATAAGACACACGGACGATCGAATAAGTCCTCTAGAATATCCAGTTGAACTTCCCGTATACACTTCACTCACATTTTTGTGGCCTCTAGTATATCATCACAAACATTAGCGCGCAGTATTAGTGAATCATATACGCGTTTGCTAATGACAAATTTTCACTCTCACCTTGAAGTGAATGCGCTAGCACTACGTGCCTTGAAACCATAACGAAGGATTTGATTTCCTCTACCCTCCATCGCTCGCAAAGCCTTCTATATCAAGGCAAGACACGGGATTCAGCGGATTGTATTGCGAATATGGCAACTCCAAGCACTTCGAACGCAGCCGAATCCAACCAAACGAAAAAGGCACTGTTCTTCGGGTGAGTATATTCGTCGCTCGTTTCGCACTTGGATATACCTAAGTCTAACTATACTTTAGAGCAAGTGTGAGACAGGGTTTCCTTGTCATAAATGTTGGATCAGAGAAAGTCCGATACGACGTACACAAGACTTTGCTCACACACCACTCCGAGTACTTCTCCCGCGCTCTTGGCGGTTCATGGAAGGAGGCAGAAGAAAACTCGATCATCCTCAACGATATCGAACCAAAGACTTTCGAGGTTTTCGTTCACTGGCTTTACACTCAGAAGATTGCAACAGAAGAAGAAGTCAACCGCATGCTCGAGACCTACCCAAGCGACGAACATGACGACGATCCGTACATCACTGTTCTGACGAAAGCTGTTGTATTTGGTGACAGGTTTATGACCCCCAATTTTCGCAAAGCTGTACAAAACTACACCGTTGACTGCATTTTCGGTTGCGACGAAATACGTGATCCTACTTTTCTCTATGCCAGCAAGTATGCTTTCGAAAACCTTCCAGAAGAACATAAACTCCGCTCATTCTTCATCGATGTGCATTGTCGCTTTATGGAAAATGCAAAGAGCTACATGGATGATATTGTCACTGGATGGTTCAGAGAGAATCTGCCACGTACATTTCTTGTTGGTCTCATAGACGCCTACAGTTATATGTTGGCGACGAGGTCAGGCTTAGGTGGTATTCACTACATCAACTGCTGCAGGTACCATGAGCATACAGACGACCTTGATCTAAACAAATGTAAGCGGGAAAGATGGTTTGCAGACTATGGGATGAAGATATGGGACACTCGCCTCAAAGAATTCGTTATGAGGTGGGACTGATGTGATTCGGAAGGAATGCCTTAACACAGAGCATTCAACGACATACAAAAGCTTGCTGAGGGTCTGCAAAGGGACATATGAGTGGTTTGAATCGAAGGCCTGACACTTTCATGATTCTATAGATGTATCTCAAAGATAAATGGAAAGTTCCTGCGGTGGAAACTAGATACACTGCTGTAGTCTTCTCTTTAAACGTGTCGCTATTATGAACCATTGAAAATCTGCTGATGTCTCTGTCACGTCTGCGTAATCTTAATCATCAGCATACTCAGCCTGCTATCCCTTTTAATAACATGCCCTGGGGACGTTACGGAAACTTTAGAAAAACCTTTTTTACAATAACGAAATTGTTTCTGAGATAACGTTACCCAAATTCCGTGCCGTTTTGAATTGCCTGCTAAATAATTGAGGACCAGGTATATCGTGTAGATAAACGATAAGTTAATCTTCGTTACACGTGACTCGAAATGATCACATAAAAGTGAAATCAAAACGAACTGTTTGTCTCGCGATACTCACGCAGATGGAGCTGGTCAGTAGCTATCTATAAGAAAATCAATTACAATGACTACCTTACTTCTAACGCACCAATATCAATAATAAGCCTACCACAATCTACCGTCAGACGCAACGAGGAGAAAGCAGACCTAAAGAGATCCAGACATCTAAGCCCACAAAAAAACGCCTGTGCCATCGTTCGAGATGGAATGAGGCCATGAAATCAATCTCCACAAAATCCAAAATCCCACGCAAACGCCATATTTTCAACTCCCTCCCTAGCCCTAGACTCACATCATCGGTATAGCCTGCGCAAACCTAATGATCGGCGCCATCCACATGCTCACCCACATGCTCACCCGCGTACTCGCACTCATCCACATACTCGTACTCCTCCACACACTCGTACTCCTCCACATACTCGTACTCGTAATCTTCTTCATAGTACTCGTCTTCATAGTACTCTTCCTCATAGTACTCGTCGTACTCATCCTCCTCATCGACATCGTTTTCGTGGTTACCCTCAACAATGTTCGTCTCCCAGTAAAGCTGGACCACAGGGATGGCGCTAGGCGTCTCGGGAGCGTCAGATACCTTGGGAGCTTCAGATGCCTCGGGTACCTCAGACATCTTGGGAGCCTCAGACGCTTCGCGAGCCTCAGGTGCTTCGGGAGCCTCAGAAGTCTCACTGCCATCAAGACTTTCCACCTCGTCTTCATCTTCGTCGAACTCCTCGTCATCCTCTGAACTCTCCATGTCGTCATACTCCTCGCCGTCGTCGTCCTCAACCTCGTCTTCTTCTTGCCCTTGCTGCTCTTCCTTCTCGTTGTTTACCTCTTGCTCTTGAACCCCCGCAGCCCTCAAACCCAACTGCCTCTCAATCGCAGTGTCCAACCTCGAATAAAGCATATACCTAAGGATCTTCTCCCTCTTCTTCTTCTCCTTCTCCTCCTCCTTCCTCTCCTCATCTTCCACCTCATTCGCCATGACCGCTTTCCACCACTTACCCACCAACTTGCGATTACTCTCCTTATACTCGGCAAGCTCAACCGTCAAGTTCTGCCACTCCCCTTCAAGCCGCCACTTCTCATCCCTCAGCAGCGCATTGTCATCTTCCAAGCCTTCAACCTTAGTCTGCAACTTTGCAACCGCGCGCTCCAGCTCCTCTTTGAGCGAGAACAACTCAAAGTTCTCGGCGTGGGCAGCGATCATGGCGGATGACATGTCGGCGATTTGCTTTTCCATGTTGGTGTGCGTGGAGCGATACATGCCGTACCAGAGATCGCAGCGCTGGCGCATCGAGCTGACTTGCTCTTGGAGGTTGCGCGTCTCGGCTATGCTGACAGAGCTGGTGGTGAGGGATTGGCGGACCCAGGATTGGTGCACGAGGGCTTCTTGCTTGCGCTGTTCTTCCAAGGTGTCGAGGCAGGCTTGAAGGCGGTGCACTTCGGCTTGGAGGGTGGTGAGGCCAGTAGCCTGTGATTCGATTGTCTTGTGCGCGCTGGCGAGTTCGGCGAGCGTCGAGTTGAGCGTGTTGCGTAGGGTGCCCAGCTCATCGCGGGCAGTGTGATATATGACTTGCTCTCTGGCAAGTTTTTCAGCAGCGTTCTGTCGTCCCCTCTGAGCTACCTCGAGGGCCTTGCTGTATGTGAATCGCTCTTTGGCAAGATTTTCGACCGCCTCCTGCTTTCCCTTCTGAGCTGCCTGGAGGGCCTTGCATGTTTCGTTGTGCGTGGATGAGGCTTCGGCCAGTTGAGTTTCCGCGGCGGAGAGTTTGTTCTCCATTTCTGAAAGGCGAGATCGAAGCTTGGTCACCTCCGCAGATGCTTCGCGATATTCTCTTTCTGTCTCATGATTGTATACGAGTTCGATTGTCAGGCGATCCACCACGCTCAGAATGGCAAAGATAAATAAGCTGATCACAGCGCCAATAGTCGCTCCCTTGAGAGCCTCGTTAACCACCGACATCCTTTCTTTGACGCGGCCGGGTCTTGCTTTGAAGGTGATGTCAGACTGGAAGTATCCTGTATTCGTCTTGCTGTTGGATTTGTGTTGTAGTCAGTTGTTGAGAAAGAACACGGGGGTGTAGTCCAATTTTATTATTTCTGGAAACATCATGCGAAGAATCAGTGCGATTGTACTTTGGTTGGAACGAGGCAAGCGACCAGCTGCCCATGGTCAACAATTCTCGCGCCAACTAACCATGAATCCTGTATATGTGGCTATCGCAAACATCTTGTCAAAGATGGGTGGGGTTTGGGTTCGTAGACGAGACCAATCTGACACATTAGAGTGTTGGCAATTGGCCTGAACATATGCAATATAGCTATGCACTAATCACAACCATGGGTACCGGTGTGATCATACACACACCAGTATTTTAGCCGCAGCTTTCAAATGTCATCACATGTGTTGGAGGGAGAATTACCATGCATTTTTTTTCACGAACCACGGCGTCAGGCCAGGTAAACAAGGAATGTAATCGAAGTCGATAGTCTTATTTCGGGCTCAAAAACCTATACTTTTATGATCAAGCTCATCAACATGAACCAAACCATAGGCCTGCATGGGCGGATGGAAGTGATACATGGAGGCTAGTTTCTGTTTTCTACACATCCTTACTCGTTGAGCTCGACGTAGTTGGCAGGGAAAAGACCCGATTGGCCGTTGAAGCTGCCGAGCCACCAGTCCTCGTCGGGAAATTCCTAATGTAATATGTCAGCATATATTCGAAACGCCAAAATAGCAGAGTCGATTTGACTTACCAGACCGGTAATGGTAGCTCCTTCAGGGAAGCTCAGTTCGTTGTCCTCTGCGGCCTCATAGTCGTAGAGAGCAGTCGCGGTAGGGCCTGAGCCAACAGCAGCTTGTGGTGCCGCAGCAGGCTCTGGCTCCTGAACTGCAGAGGGATGCGTGGGTGGTGGCGGTGCGGCCGCAGCACCAGCATCACCACCCTCAACCAGCTCGACGTAGTTGGCAGGGAACAGACCACGCTCGCCTTGCGAGTTAGTACCCATCCACCAATCCTCGTCTACCATGTCGATGTCGGTGACATATTCGCCATCACGTAGCTCCACCTCGTTATCTTCGGCCTTTTCATAGTCGTACAGGATGACTGCACGCTTTCCAGAGCCGCCTGCGGCCGCCGGCTCATCGTCATCATGACTAGCGGCAACAGCAGCAGCGCCAATGGCAGCACCACCTACTGCAGCAGCGCCAAACGTGGCAGCGGCAACAGCAGCACCGGCACCACGAGCGGGATCCTTGGCCTCAACCTTGGGCTCGGGTGAGATGTCACGGGCCTGCTGGGCTGCTTGATCCAACGAACGAGTAGGCATAACTGGTGCCTTTTCCTCAGCAGGAGCAAGTTCTTCTGGCTCCCTTCCACGTGCAACGGGCATGGCGATGCGCACAGGTGAACCAGAAGGCTCAGGAGATGGGCTGCGGGGCCGCCGAGGCGGGGAGGGCAGACGCTGGTGCTGAGTTGCAGGAACCTCGTCCTTTTCCTCTTCTGGTTCTGACTCTGGCTGCTTAGGTCGGCTGGGAAGGCCGGGCAGGGAAACACCACCCCTTATGCCCGCGTTGGGTTTGCTCGAGTTGTCAAGAGGTGGTGGGCTATCAGCCGCCACGGGCTCAGGCACAGGACGAGAGCTTGGGGCTCCCATTGGTGCAGCGCCTGAGAAGCGGTCCTTGAGGGAGCTTACACCTCCAGAAGGAGAGGTTGGCTCTTCTGCTTGTTGTGGTGGTGGCGAGCCTCCCGTCCGCTGCTCATTGAGGTTGGCAGCACCCGACGGGCCTGTTCGGGTAGTCTGTACGGGTGCCCATGATTTGCCAGAGTAACCACTTTGCCAGCCACCACCTCCACTTGGCTGACTTTGAAGAGGGTTAGGGCGGCTTGCAGGGTCGGGAGCAGGTGCTGAAATAGATTCACCGCGGGCTGCCTTCTTCTCAGCCCAAATTTGGGCAGGCGTCTTTCCACCTTCATCAGCGAATGTCTTGCTCGCTGCACCAACAATGGGCGCAGGAACTGCGGGCTTTGCATCAAAACCTCCAGGTGTAGGAGCCTTTGTGCCTGTGAATGCGCTGGCGCCGGCGAACTTGTTGGCAACCTTTGGTTTGGGCATGCTGGTAAGGCGTTCGGGCTGCGACTTGAAGGCTGCGGACCTTTCTGCGAGCGACTTTGGCGTCTGATCCTCCTCTTCCTTGGGAGCTGCAGGAGATGGAGGAGCAGCTTGGGCCTTTGCACGAATGGCTGCGATGTCAACCTTGCCGACGGGCTCATACGCGCCCTTGACTACAGTCGGTCGGTCGTCTTTGGCATCCTTTGCTTGAGCTCGGATAGCGGCAATGTCAACCTTTCCAACTGGCTGGTATGCACCCTTGACAACCTCGGGGCGGTCGTTTGACGAAGACTCGTCTTTCCTTGCGGTAAGCTCGGCCATGTTGACCTTGGTGGGCGTGTAGGCAGTGCCCACCTTCTCCAATTGCGACCTCGAGACGGGCGGGGCATCGGCACCCCAGCCATCACGGTCTTCATCAGCCTTGGGAGCTGGTGCGCGCGAGCGTCCCAGCGGGTTGAAGCCGGAGCCTGCGCCTCCTATCGATGTGGGTGTGAATACAGGCTTCTTCGCAACGGGAGGTGGGGGGCGCGACGAAGGGATGGCGCCGCCTCCAGAGTACTTTGCGCCGGATGCGTCTGCAACCTTTTGGACAATCTTCTCGGGGCTGAGGTCATCCTCGGAGCGAGCGGTAACTTGGACGTGGTATCCCTGGCAGAATTAGATGTCTAGCGGTAAAAGCTCGGGGATGGTCAGGCATACATGCAAAAGCTTGGAGACAACCGTAAGGTGGCTGCCAAAGTAGCCCTTTGTCCGCTCCGGGACGCCTTGACCGCACTGCGTGTGCGTTAGTAATGTGTATTCCACAGTCTCGGCGCCCAACTTACCCAAGCTATCAGGACGTTCTTAGGCAGTGACGAATTTGGGTCCTTGACCTTGACAAAGGCAAACTGGATGCGGCCCTCTGAGAACTCATCGACCAGGTCCGTCAGCTCGCCCTCTGCAAAGAAAATCAGCAATTGAGCTATTTGTGACTGCGGCCTTCTGGCACGGGTGGTGCTGGATAAGGCAGCGATATCCGAGCTTGGGCTGACAGCTCAGCAGCGGTCAGGCGGCCGCCAATCTTGGGCACCCAGGCTCCGGGCACGGGAGGAAGCAATTGAGGAATTCAGACCACGGGCACATACCTCCAGTACTTTGGACCTTGAGGACACTCTCCTTTCCGCTGTCGTGCTGGAAGGCGCTGACGAGCGGGGCAGCTACTGTGAAGACGGCCCATTGGCCATATGTGGGGGAGCTGGCCTGGGGGCCAGTTGGAGCAGGGGAATTGACAACATTCTGGTAGCTCTTTGTGATGTTTGGGCCATTGCTGGAGGTGTTGAGCGTGGCCATGGTGGGCGGAGTGTGGAGGGGGAGGGGAGGGGGGAAGAGGGGGGGGAAAGAGAGAGAGAGGAGGGGGAAAAGAGGGGTGGGCTGAGCTTGTGGAGGAGAACGTGGAGGAGGAGGAGGAGGAAGAAGAGAGAGAAGAGGAAAAAAAGAAGAAGAAGGACAGGGAGCGCAGCGGCAGCTAGTAGCACGGTGGTGGTGGACAGCTCAGAGTCTGTACGCGTATGTATGCGGCAAGCGTAGTGTAGAAGAGAATAGCATTGGGCATGGGCGTGGGCGCGGGTGCGGGTGCGGGTGCTAGGGCCGTGTGTTGCTATGTCATATGGCTTGGCACTGGCGGGCTGAGGCGTTCTCTCTTGCTCGCTGCTGTCTGTGCTATGCAACGTTGCTGGCAATTGCGTGCAGGCGGCAACGGCAGCCTCGCGCCCTCGACAGCCACCTTCGCCTGCTTAGCTGCGTTCTAGCCGGCCCATTCACCTCCACTCTGCCACGACAACCCTCCACCTAGCCCCCGACAACACACCCGCCGCACCGCTTTTTCCCAACCACGCTGCTCCACGCGCCAGGCGCGCTGCTGCTCCCGCCTGCTTGCGTGCCTTTATGTCTCTAGCCTGCCCCAACAACCCCCATCACCCCCCCATCCATCATGGCGCTCGTCTAGGTTGGCATGCACGTCGACGGCTGTAGCACACCATGGAGGACCGCGAGTCGAGCGTAGTGTCGTCGGTCGACTTCTACTCCTCCGACGCAATCCCAAACCCGCTCCCGGCCAGCTCCCAGGCCGATGGCGATGTCCTGCCGCCGCCGCTGGGAAAGCGCAAGGCGGATGATGATGTCGACGAGGAGAATGCTCGCCCTCACCACCTTCACAATCACCAACACCATGCCCAAGCCCATGCCCATGTCCGCAAGCGCAACCGCCGCGCCTCGTCCCCTTCGCTGCTGCTGCCCGGCTCTCTGCCCGGCTGCGCAGGGCTGCCACCACAACTGTGGCAGCACATCTTCTCCTTTTGTTCGCTCGCAGATCTCGGTCGATTGATCCAGGTCAATCGATCTTTTCATTGCTATCTCACAGACGTGCGCAGCGCCTCGACTTCAAAGTCGGGCCCTGGCCGTCTGCATCTCCTAAAGTCTGAATCGTTGTGGGCCTCTGCCCGCAATGCACTATGTACAAAGCCCCCAAAGCCTCTCCCGGGCTTTACGGAGCTGCACATGTGGCAGCTGGCCTGGTCCAAGAGGTGCCAGTTCTGTAACAAGCTTGATGCTCACTCTCCAGGCGAGCGCATCTGGCAAAAGGGCCCTGGTCCTGCTGGTGTGCGCGTCATCTGGCCCTTTGCCATC